CCCCTGCTCCCCTCTGGCTGGTTCCCTTTCTTCCTGGAGCTAGCCTTTCCTCTTCTGCTTTCTTATCTCTTTGATGTTTTGTTTTTTTGTTTTGTCTTTTTGAAGCTGAGTCTCCCCATAGCCCCAGCTGGCCTGGAACTATGTAGATCAGGCTGGCCGAACTCAACTCACAAACATCTGCCTGCCAGTGCTGGGATTAAAGGCGTGCATTACCACACCCAGCTCTTTTTTGGTAAGTGACTTATTTTCTTTTTCTGAATTCTTTTATGATCTTATAAAAGCAAATGTGAATCTCTCTTTATTCATCCTAACTGGGATTTACTGGAGCTCTTAGATCTCAGAACTGATAGCTGGCAGATGAGTCCAACCTTTTGATATTGCCACAATGTTGTCACCGACAGAACATTGTCATCTACAAACTTCACCCTCAAAAACTGCACAGTCAGGGCTAGAGAGATGGCTCAGCAGTAAAGAGCACTTGCTGCTTTTGCAGAAGACCCTGGTTCAGTCACATGGTGGCTTACAACCATCTGTAACGCCAGTTATACAAGATCTTATGCCTCTTCTGCTACCATGGCACCAGATACACACACGGTGCACATACATACATGCAGGTAAAACACTCATACATATAAAATAAAAATAAATAAACCTAAAAAAGATTTTAAGTTTTTTTTTAAAGAATTGCACAGGGCTGGAGAGATGGCTTGGCAGTAACTGATCTTGCAGAGGACCCAGGTTCGATTCCCAGCACTCACATGGCAGCTACGAGCCATCCTTAACTCCAGTTCCAGGGGAATCCGAAGTCCTCTTCTGACCTCCACAGCATTGGACAACATGGGTGCACTCACATACATGCAGGCAATACACTCATACATGGAAAATAAAAATAATAAATTAAAAAAATAAAATAATAATAATAAAAAGAATTGCAGAATTGCCAGGCCTGGTGGCGCATGTTTGTAGTCCCAGCACTCGGGAGGCAGAGGCAGGCAGATCTCTGTGAGTTCAAGGCCAGCCTGGTCTACATAGTGAGTTCTAGGCCAGCTGGGGCTACAGGGAGACCCTGTTTCAAAAAAAAAATAAAGATTGCAAAATTGAGTTAAACAAACAGAAAAGCAAAAAAGGGGGCTGGAGAGATGGCTCAGTAGTTAAGAGCACTGACTGCTCTTGCAGAAGACCCAGGTTCAAATCCTAGAACCCACCTGGTGGCTAACAACTATCTGTAACTCCAGTTCCATGGGATCCAACGCCCTCTTCTGGCCTCCATAGGCATTCACGACACGGGTGTACTTACATATATGCAGGCAATACACTCCTCATACACATAAAGTAAAGGTTTTTTTTGTTTTGGATTTTTTTTGGTCTTTTTGAAGCAGGGTCTGCCTGTGGTCCCAGCTGTCCTGGAACTCACTATGTAGACCAGGCTGGCCTCGAAGTCACAGAGATCCTCCTGCCTCTGCCTCCCAAGTGCTGGGACTACAGGCGTGTGCCACCACACCCGGCAAAATAAAGTTTTTTTAAAAAGTTAAAAAGATCTCATCATGCCGGGCATGGTGGCACATGCCTTTAATGTTCAAGGCCAGCCTGGTCTACATAGTGAGTTCCAGGACAGCTGGAGCTACAGGGAGACCCTGCTTCAAAAAAAACAAAAAAAAAGAAGAAGAAAAAAAAGATCTCATCAAAACTTGAAGTAACTTTACAGTTTTGTATTGAGCTGCATTCAGAATTACCTCTGCACCATGTAGGCACATCTGGCCCATGGACTGCAGGCTGGACATGCTGAGCTATAAACAGTTCTAGAATACTGTATGCCAGTTCTGCATGGGTCCCTCTCCCTTCCCTGTCCTATCATCTGTCTCAGGAAGCCCAGCCTCACCCGTGAGCTAAGACTCTCTACGTCTGACATTCTTTCTGTATCTTGTCCCTTTGGATTATTTTCTTGATGGTTTCCCAACCTCTGTCTCTAAATGTACTACATCTCTGTCCAGCTGAGCTGAAAGTTTTCATCTGATTGTTTGGTCCATTTAGTAAGAATTTTGTTCTTTGAAACAGGGTATGTAGCCCTGGCTGGTTTGGAACTCACTACGTAGATCAGGCTGACCTCAGGTTCACAGTGACAGCCTGCCTCTACCTCCTGAGCACTGGGATTAAAGATGTGCACTACTATCCCTGGCTTCAATAAGCTAGACTTCCATTTTAATTTGAGTATTTTTCTTATTCTTTAAATATTTTATTTATTTTATGTGTATGAGTGTATTGCCTGCATGTATGTAAGTGCACTCCTGTCATGCAATGCCTGCAGAGTTCAGAAGAGGGCATCAAATCCCCTAGAACTGGAGTTACAGATGGTTGTTAGCCACCATGTGGGTACTGGGAATCGAACCTAGGTCCTCTGCAAAAGCAGCCAGTGTTCTTAACCACTGAGCCATCTCTCCAGCCCCCACTGCGGTACTTTTTATCTCTAGTTCTACTCGGTTCTTGAGATCCACTTATTCTATTAAAAATTATACTCTTGTTCATATTTTCACGAATTGGGGTTGGAGAGAGTTCTCAGTGGTTGGGCACCTGCTGCTCTTGCAGAGAACCCTCATGGCAGCTCCCATGACTGCCCTAACTCCAGTTCCTGGGGATCCAATGCCCTCTTCTGGCCTGTGCCACATACATGCAGGCAAGACACTCATATACAAAGAATAAAGTAAAAACATATTTTCAAGAACCCCCTTTATTTCTTTGGATATATAAAGCCTCGTTACCACTCACTAAGTGGCCATTTCACCACCTGAGGCACCACAGCTTGGGTTGTTCCAGCTGACTTCTGTGGCTTGTAAAAAACATTTTAGCCTGGAGACAACTCACCTCCTTGTAACTTACTCTGCACAGAATCCTTGAGACCTTCTGATTCTGTGTTTGTCAACCATGGGCCATGTTCTTCCCTAGGGACAGTGAACAATGTCTCCAGACACTTTCGGTTGTCACAACGGGGAGCCTGTGTGTGCTACCAGCTCCCAGAGGATAGATACCAGGGATTTGGTTCACCTCTGACAAGACGGGTCAGCCTGCATGGTGGACACTCACCTGCTCTATACCGCCAGGGCCCGGGCTCCAGAGATGATCTGCCTTGGCCTCTGCCAGTCCCCCAGGCCAACCAGGCCCACTTAAAATTCTCCCCGGAGGTCTCTAGGGCCACACTGGCAGCCTGGCTCCAGGCTGCAAACTTCTAAGAAACTATAGAGGCTATTATAGAAAACACAAACTCATAATTTTTTTCACCCTGCTTGGAACACCATGGGCATGAGGCCATGTTTGCTGCCCATCTGTATCATCCTGTTTCAATTTACCTCCTGGTATGTGGGCGGTCTCCTAATGAAAGAACACAGGCTCTGCTCCAGGGTGACAATCTCTTGCCTCCAGTCCTATGATGATGTCAGGAGGGAGTACAGTCCTTCAGGGTATGGCACACTTCAGGGGAAAAGCTGGCCACCTGGCTTGCCACCTCAGTGTCCCTCTGCTCTGTCTTGGGAAAACTTTGGTACAAGATAGTAGGTAAAGCAGGAGGGGCTCTGATATGTGGAATGGCTATTCTGGACAAAGCCAAGAGGGAGAGAGGGCTGAGGCTCTGAGGAGGCCAGCAGACCGCACTGAGACCTGTGTCCTCGGGAGTAGGCATGGCCAGGCCCAAGTTCTAGAAATGTCACAGGCTGTGTTTGGAGAAACCTAGGTACCAGACTACTGAAACGTCCTCAGGGCCTGAAGGGTGCGAGTGCCTGGCCATGGGATGGATGGGACAGGCAAACCCAAGGACCATGAAGGAGGCTGAATTGGGGAGGCTCTGGGGTAGACCCAAACTGTGGCCATGGAGAGCTTTCCCTAGGAGTCACTGTGGGAAGGCAAGTTTATCTGGGTGCCTTGAGCTCATGGGACACAACTGCCTATTAGCTTACCTAGCTCCCCTTGCAGCCTGGAACCCACTTTAATCCCTCAAGTAGGTGGCTTGGGCGCTGGGCTAATTTGTGCCTGACCTGGTATGCCCTGCAGGTCAAAGCAGTGGGGAAATTAGGCTTCATGGGTTACTGAACCCGAAACGTCCATGCCCCATACTCCAGGCTCCGTGCCAAAGAACTCACCTGTGATGTATCAGTGTCTTTAATAGCAAGCATCTGTCCCCACCAGATCATGCTGGACAGGGGCTTTGCCAGTCCTATTAGTGCCTACCCAAGCTGTCAATAAACAGGGCAAGGAGAGAGAGTGATGCCCAAAGGAACTCAGCTTCCTTCTGTGGCTAAGGCAAAGACCACCCTGCTGGACCAAGTGGGGTGTGGGAGGATGGAGGTGTCAGCAGATTCCAGACCTGGGGAATCCTGTACCCTGCAGGATGGGTGTGTTCTGCCCACACGACACCTCACAGCCTAGCTGAGAAGTCCAAGCTCACCCACTCCCAGGGACACAAGGGCCTCCCTAGGGAAGGGGCACATCTGAGCTACTTTGCTGCCCATTTCTCCTGGACAATTAGTTAAGGCCCAGAGCCTAGCTCAAGGTAGCTTTGTGGGATCCAGTCTTGGGTAACAACCCTGGCCAGGAGGACAAGAAGCTGCATGGTTTTGGGGCCTGGGTCTATGGGCAGGGTGAGCAAGCCAAGAAACCAGGCCAGACCTGGTCCAACTACAGCCAGATTCCTTTTCAGTCAGAATACCAACCCTGACCTCCCATCCTTATGGGTCCCCCCACAGACAGGGAACAAGTAGAGCCCTCTGTTACAGGCCCCACCCCTCTCCCCATCCCACGTGCCCCTGCTGCTTCTATCTGAGCCGGTCACTTTGACTCGGTTCCCTTGGTGAAGAGGAGGAACTCCTAACATCTTGGTCCCCAGGCCTCCCAGCCTACCCTCAGGATGAAATCCTTTCACCCACTCAAGAGCCACCATGAGACAACAGGGCAGCCAGACCCAAGTCAGTCAGCACCCTCTGCTGGGCATAATCAGAAATGCAGTCCAGTGCGACCAGCACATTTTATTAAGAGACCAGGGAACCCAGGGTATGACGCAGGAGTGGACAGGACAGCCATAAACACGTCCCTCTCTCTGTCCAGGGCTGCCTGAGATCAGGTAAACATGAGGAAGGATCCTCCACTGTCCACTGACAGTGGAAGTAGCAGCTTCAGGCTGTGTCAACATAACAGAGCACCACTCTGATCAGCACCCCAAGTCTGGAACTGTGTCAGTGTCAGGGCAGTAGTTAGCCTAGAGTGAACCTCAGTAGTCCAGATGGCGAGGGTAGAGGCTCGAGCTCCCACTTGAGGATTCTATCCAGGCCAGCTGGTGGTCTTCAATCAGAAGGCGGGCTCACAAGGGTCACGTGGAGCTGAGGCAAACTATGTCAGTTTGCACGTCCCGGAGAGACACATACAGCTAGATGAAGGTGGAGTCTAGAGGCCCAGCATCCTGCTGGCTGAGAGCTCGGGCCTCAAACAGCTGCTTGATGAGTGCAGACTTCTCCTGCTCCAGCTGAGTGATTCGCTCGCTCTTACTGGTCACTTCCTGGGCAGGCAGGCAGGGGGGCAGGTGGTTAGGGCTTGTGGGGCTTCTAGCCCCAGCCCTGTCTTCCCACACCTCACCTGAGTGAGAAGCCGGTTCTGCTCCTTTAGCATGAGGATGGTCTGTTGCTGCCAGCTGGGTGCTGAGGGTGAGATGGGGCCCAGAGGCCCCAAAGAGGTCGAGGGTAGAGCCTGTGGGAGTGTACAATCAGGCAGGCCTCTCCTGGGCACAGGGTCCAGGACGAGGACAAGGGTGCCAGCACGGGTGCCAAGCAGGCTCTGGAGCACTCACCCTGCTAGAACAGGCTGCGGCCAACAGCTCCCCCAGGCACCGGGCCACCTCCTGTACTTTGGGCAGCAGCCTCCCCAGAGGGCGGGGGCTCCCTGCAGCCCCAAAGTCCTGCAAGAGAAGCAGAAAACACCAGGCTATGGGGGATCCCAGCAGCTGGCACTCCTGTCCACTGAAGCTGCTGCTCAGAGCCTAGAGGGAGCCCAGGGGTGTTGCTTGTGGGAGTTGGCCCAGGGCACGTGAGGTCCTGGCAGGGGTGGCCCAGCACTCACAGTACTGGCTCTGCTCTGGCTCAGGCGGTGCTGGCGCTCCTGCACACGCTGCAGCTGTTGCTGGTACCACTCTCGGCCCCGTGCCATCATCTCCAGGCCCTGCAGCAGCACCTCCTGCTCTTGGTCCAGCTCCTTCATCTGCTTTAGCTACAAAATACATGTGTGCATGGGAATCACACATGCCAGTGAGCAGGTTGGCACTGTACACACCTCCATGCTCCAGGAGCCACAGATATGCAAGTTGAGACCTGTCACAGGCAGTCCAGCACACAGGCACAAATATGTCTGCAAGTGTACAGTCTGCAAATGCACACATGGATGCACTAGCTTGTGTACAGAAGCCTCAAACGCACAGATATGCAAGTTGAGACCTGTCACAGGCAGTCCAGCACACAGGCACAATGCACACATGGATGCACTAGCTTGTGTACAAAAGCCTCAAACTTCTTGGGGAGCACAGCCCACTTCCTCCTGTGGTGGGGAATCTGGTTTTCCCAGTCCCACTACAGAAGCTTCCCCAGAGCAAAGTGACTGACCGGACCCAGCAACCCTCCCAGGGGGGCCTGCTTACAGTAATCATGCTGTTTGTATTCTGAACTGACCTGCAGAGGGAGCCTGGTGAGGTAGGCAGGGCAGTGATCCAAATTCACCATCACCAGGCATCCCTAAAGAACCTCTTCTCCTCCCTCTGCTTGACCCTGCTTGTCTGCCCCTCTAGTAGATTCACGCCCAGGCAAGGAGAGAGATGTTTAGAGTTGACCAATTCTCCCACAGGAGCTCCCAGGATAACCAGGCCCACTGTTGCTCCCTGGTTTCCAATCTCCTGGACAATACCTAGAGTCCCTCAGAATCCTGGCCCCTCTCACCAGGCCACAGTCCACACCGTTGGTGATCGTATGCCTTCGACGTTCCCCTCGGGCCCGTGGAGCCCGCCTGGCTTCACCTGTGCCTACCTCCAGGGCCCTGCAGTCCGCTGCACCTGTAGCAGAGAGGCAGGGTCCTGGTTTAATTTTGGGCCTCCCTAGTGGGCTCAGGATCTCAGCCCATCCTGGGAACCCCCACCAACTCTGGTAATTCAAACCCCAGGGCCTACACTACCTGGGAGTCTTTGCTAGCCTGTCCCCAAGCATGGCCTATGTGTTGGCTTTGTGCCTGGCTTCCCTTGGTGTACCCTCCTCCCCTCACATGCCTTGTGGAGGGCTATGAGCTCACTGGGGGAAGGAACTGCACGCAGCCCCTTTCTGTACCCCTCCCCCTATGCCTGAAACATGGTGGATAGATCAGTGTTTCAAAGGCTGACGGGTGAAAGGTAAGGGATAAGAGATGGACAGGCAAGGGCCTCTAGATCCTCTCTACTTCCTTCATGCTTGTGGGGACAGCAGCTGGTACAGAGGAGACTTGGAGTTGGGTGATGGAGACCTAACTCTTGCTTAGGAGCAGCCGCAGTATAGTGTTGCACACATGTGCAGAGGCAGTGCAGTCAACAGCCTGTCCTAATGTTTGTGGAGGACTCCTGTGTGCTCCCTCTGGAGGGCCTCCCTGCCTACTAGAAGTGGAGTGCAGGTGGGGTGGAGGGCACCTTCTCTTAGCCCTTCAACCCCATCCTTGGCATCAGGCTTATCCTTGAGGCTATGCCAAAGGAATGAGTGACTGATGCAATAACTGGGCTCCATGTACACGACAGAGGCTCTAGCTCCAAGCAAGCCCCAGAGCTCTTGACCCAGCCTGGTGTGCTTAGTGGCCTGCAGCTCCAGGGTGAGGCAATAGGAGGTGACCAGGGAGGATGCTACCTCCAGAAGGTGGGGGCAGAGCAGGTACTGGCAGTGAGGAACCTCCGGGCCGGACATGCACAGGGAAGAAGGCCTGAATTACAGGGTTGGGAACTTGGGAGGTCATGTGTGTTGGGTGGCCTTTTCAAGGGAGCTAGAGTGGTACTGCAGATCCCCCAAGGCCAGCTTTGTCAAGCATCCCATACTTCTAGTCTGGGTCTTGGTTGGTCTGCAAAGGGATAAGAGCTAGAGTCTGACCTGAGGCCTGCAGAGGCGTGGGCTAAATACTGCCCAGTCATGGGCCCTGGGCAAGTAGCCTTCAGAGAAGTGTGGCAACTGACCCAGTGCCAACATAGGATGGTGCAGAGCTGTACCACAGGCAAACTTTGAGCCTGTCCATCACATAGGATCCCATGGCTGACTTTAAATTCACAGTCACAGAAATGACCAGCTATACCCAGAAAGCCTCCCCAACCACAGGGATAGGGAGTTGGGGCTGTGAGGTGCAGGGAGTGCTTCCAGTCCATGTGTAGGGGGACAGGGGTCAGTTTACCAGGGAGACAAGGGCTGCCGTGTTGCCAAATGCCAGTTTGGGAGTGGTAGAACATGAGGTGGAGGAGAGGTCTGGTGAGGCTGACAGGGCAGTGTGTGGCACCCAAATGAATTGGCAGCTGCCACCAGTGGACAGGCCTGCACCTGGCAGGGCAGTGTACAGGATGAACGGACTGTGGGTGGTGGGGAAGCTTGGGCTCCTCTGGGAGCCTGCCCCTATGCTTAGTCATAATGCAGGTCCTGTTCCTAGGGCAAACAGGAGGCCATTCAACAGTCTCCGGTTCCTGCCAGCTACACCGGAAGCAGCCAGAAGAGCCTGCAGGAGGTCCCCGGAGACAGAGGCTGTCTGGCTGGCAGCATATAGAGCTGCAGAAGCCTCCCCCCAACTTTCTTCAGTACTTGTGCTGGGTGCTCCTGGGTCACCTCCTCTGGCCTAGGTGGAGAAGTGGATCTAGTCCTCTAGGCTAAACTGTCACACTGAAAAGGACATGGAGGACAGTTAGGGAACCCTTGCTTCCAGCCCACGCAGCTATAGAAATAAGGATGCGGGCTTAGCTGTCCCTAGGTGTGGGACAGGTGTGGCAGGCAAAACATACTTTCTCTCACAGCACAAGTGTTCCAGTGCCCAGCTCGAGCCTGAGACAGAGTGGATTCCTGGTTGGATGTTCAGTCACCGTCCCGGTGGCTGGCCTCTGACCACAGTGCACAGGGGCAGGCCAGGAAGCCCCTTTCCCTCCAGGTGGTTCCAGGCTTGCTTTGCGCCGAGGCCTGCCCACAGCGGTCCCCAGCTCCCTCTCTCCTGGGAGACTCCGCGTCTCCAGCTTCCAGCACAGACCCCAGGAGCTACGAGGTGGGATGCGGGCCGCGCGCACTCACCTGCGTCCGCGCTCGGGCTCCTCTCCAGCGCGGTACTCCAGGGCCGCTCCGGCTCGGCCGGACAGGGCGCAGCCTCAGCCGGGCTGCACGGAAACTCCGGGTTCCGGGAAGAGCCGCCGGGGCCAGGGGGCGGGGGACGCGCCCTCAGGGGCAGGGGCTTCCTCTCCAGGACAGTCCTCGGCTCATCGGCCGGTGGAAACACCAGGCGCTGCTGCAGCGGTGGCGGCTGGTCCCCGGACCCGGCCGGGATGCGCGCCTGGTCCCGGGGGTCGCCGTCCGCGTTCAGCAGCGACGTGCGCAGGCCAGCCACGAAGCGCTCGAAGGTCAGGTAGCCGCTGGCCGGGGCCACCTGGCGCAAGCCCTCCAGCACCCCGCGGGGCAGCTCGCGCGCGTCCGCGCCCTGCCAGCGGGACTCGATCTCGTGCAGGTGCACGTAGCCGCGCCTCCGGTCGTCCAAGATGTCGAAGAGCGTGCGCAGGCTCTGGAGGAAGGCCCGCGGCAGCCCCTCGGTGCCGGGCGCGGGCGCGGCGGGCGGGAGGCGGCCGCGCTCGGCCATCGCAGCCACGGCCATGGGCTCCGGGCTTCCACCCCACGTCCGCCCGCGTCAGCCCGCACACCGCCCGTCGGGGGAACCTGCCCGGAGCGTGCGGCCTGCAGCGACAATAGCTGCTACTTTTGAACGGAGCTCTGCTCGCGGCGGCAGCGCTCATTAGCATTCGTGGCGCCCATTGGCCGAAGGCGGCCCATCTGTTCTCCGATTGGCTCGGCCGGCGCCTGCCCCGGTTTGATTTTTCCTGCGGTAGGGGCTCGCGGGTTCCCCCACCGCCCGGCCGGGACAGGGGGCCACGAGATGCGCGGAGGCGTGGGCGGGACACGGCCGGATCCCTCACCTCTGCTCCCCACTGTCCCCCTGCCTCCACACCCACCATCCATCCAGCCTCCCGGCTCAGGTCCCCGCCTGCACGCCGCCCCCTCCAGGCACTTCTCTGAGGGGCGGAGCGTAGCACCCCTACACAAAACGTGTGCCTAGGTAGCCTCCCTTGGGTAGGGATGGGAGGGCTCTCCTGCTCACTCGGGTCCTTTTCACTGAGGGTCCCCTAGCCATAGGCGCCATCTGGCTCTGGGGCCCCCTTCTCTTGCATCAGGAAGGCCCCGAGAGAATCACAGGCTCCAGACAGCTGGGCACACTCCCTCACAGAGGCCTCTGTCCCCATAACTGGCAGCTCCTCCTTTGGTCCCTTGGGACAGTCCTGCTTGTCCTGCATCCCTGCAGGACAAAGCCCATTTGTCTCGTGTCCCCAGATGCCCATCCAGTGATCAGCTCCCTTTTAGTGTTCTGGTCCCCTCCTCTATCTAGCTCTTTCTTCTCTGAACATCTTCAGTCATTCTCCTAACCCTCACAGCCCTGGGCCTGGCTTTCCAGCCAGTATCACCAGGCCAGTCTAGGTCCATAGTCAGTCCAGATCCCAGGCCTTAACCTGGATTCTTAGTCTGAAGCCCATTTCAGGGCTGGCCAGGAGCACCCTCTAGAGGCCAGGGAGGTTCTTGGGGTGCTCTCTGTCTTTACCTCTTGCCAACTCCTTTGACATTGTCTAGGCCTGCTCTGGTTCCCTCCAACTCTCCGTGTGGCCACCTCCCCAAATTTCTGAATGTCACAGGCACGTGGCCACTGAGAAATGTGCACACGTTATCTGCTGCCTCTGCTATCTAAACACACTGTACTGTTCCTCTTCAACAAGGTTGCTGAATACTTCTAAATAGGTCCTTGACTCAGGGCCCTTCTCCAGTCCAGGGCAGGTCTGTGTCCTTAGGGCGGAGGAAACAGGGCATGTGTCTCAGGCTGTGGGAGCAGCTGCTCTACCCAACTTCCTTGACTCTACTTCTCCAGGGGTTAGTCAGTCAAAGTTTTGGTTCATTCATGATAAGGCATGTTGGTGGAGGCCTCTAAAGAACTATGAGCCCAGGCGGGCATGATGGCACACGCCTTTAGTCCCAGCACTCAGGAGGCAGAGGCAGGCAATTCTTTGTGAGTTCAAGGCCTGCCTGGTCTACATAGTGAGTTCTAGGTAAGATGAGGCTACAGAGAGACCCTGTCTCTAAATAAATAAATAAATAAATAAATAAACAAATAAATAAAGCCAAAAAAAGAAAAAATAAAACACCCAAGAACTATGAGCCCAGAGTTACTCCATGGAACACGCTAACCCTTTTAGGGGCACACCTGGTCAAAGGCCCTCTGCAATTTCACATTTTCCCTACTTTGAGCTCTCTGCAGTCCTTAGGGTGTCTGTGTTCCCTCACCCCCAGGCCCTAAGCAACAAAAAGAGGAACATCCTCTGTGTCAGCTGATTGTGAGGCATCCTTCAAACCTTGCCCAGGTTCCTGATTTCCCTGTCCCCAAAGTCTGTTTGGATGCTCTGACCTTAGGTGTCTGGTTAAGGTGACTGTCTCTCCATAAGTCATTAAGCTATTTGGGAGCAGGGCATCACCACTCCAAGGCCTTAGGATTAGCCACCTTACCATGGGCACTCAGTGGATAACACACAGGAAACTGTATCTTCTGGAGAGGTCACAGCGAAAATGCCATGCTGGGGTGGGACACCAAACTAGGGTGAGGTCTATGGGACAGGGGTTCTTGGGATAACTGTGTGCGTGTGGTGGTCACCCACCAGCATCTAGTAAAAACAATGCTAGTCAAGACAGCAAAACTAGCAGGACCCAGGCTAGGGCCCCCAGTAAATCTGAGTCCACTTGCAGAGAAGAGGAGGGCTTCTGGAGGGTGGCTCACTAGGCCCCACCCATCCTTAAAGATCTATAGGCAGTTAATAGTTGCTGGCAGAGGGGAGTCATATTCCACATGGTTGTAGCAGCTAGTAAGTTGCTTTTATACAATACCCACCCCCATGCTCATGCAGGCAGCACTAATTAACTGTAATGAGACACACACACACACACACATACACACACACACACACACACACGCACCATAAAAGTAGAAGGGGGCCTTGTTGGAAGGAGAAGGGGTCTGGTGGGAGAGGGAAGGTGATAATAGAAGATAATGGTGGAGGGAATGTGATCAAAGTTCATTATATACTTATGGAGTTATGACAGAATAAATACATTTTACTTTATTTCTTATTATTTTTATTTTATATGTATGAGTGTATTGCCTGCATATATTTAAGTGTACCTGGGTTGTGCGATGCCTGAAGAGGTCAGAAGAGGGTGTCAGTTCCCCTTGAACTGGAATTACAGATAGTTGTGATGGTTTTGGCATGTAGGTGCTGGAAAATGAACCTGGGTCCTCTGTGAGAGTGGTCAGGGCTCTTAACTACTGAGCGAATCTCTCCAGCCCCAGAATAAACACATTTAAAAATACATATTTTAGCTGGGCATCATGGCGCACACCTTTAATCCCAGCACTTGGGAGGCAGAGGCAGATGGACCTCTGTGAGTTCAAGGCCAGCCTGGTCTACATAGTGAGTTCCAGGATGGCTGGGGCTGCAGGGAGACCCTGTCTCAAAAAGACCAAAAAAAAAAAAAAAAACCCACCATATTTTATTATTTTATTTTATGTGTATTCGTGTATTGTCTACATGTGTGTAAGTGTACCCGTGTTGTGCAGTGCCCAAGGAGGACAGAAGAGGCTGGCGGATCCCCTGGAACTGGAGTTATGGACAGTTGTTAGCTGCCTTGTGGGTGCTGGAATTTGAACCTGGCTGTTCTGCAAGAACAATTAGTGTTCTTAACTGCTGAGTCATCTCTCCAGCTCCAGAATAAACACTTTTTTTTTTTTTGGTCTTTTTGAGACAGGGTCTCTCCGTAGCCCCAGCTGTCCTGGAACTCACTATGTAGACTAGACTGGCCTTGAACTCACAGAGATCTTCCTGCCTCTGCCTCCCTAGTGCTGGGATTAAAGGCGTGTGTCATCATGCCCAGTGAATAAACACATTTTAAAGAAAGAAAGGAGGGGCTGGAGAGATGGCTCAGCAATTAAGAACACTGACTGCTCTTGCAGGAGACCTGGGTTTGATTCCCAACACCCACATGGCAGCTATGAACCGTTCTTAACTCCAGTTCCAGGGGAATCCGAAGCCCTCTTCTGACTTCTGAGGCATTGCACGACACAGGTGCACTCACATACATGCAGGCAATACACTCATACACATAAAATAAAAATAATAAATTTAGCCAGGCGTGGTGGTGCACGCCTTTAATCCCAGCACTCGGGAGGCAGAGGCAGGCAGATCTCTGTGAGTTCAAGGCCAGCCTGGTCTACATAGTGAGTTCCAGGACAGCTGGGGCTACAGGGAGACCCTGTCTCAGAAAGACAGAAAAAGAAAAGAAGAGAACCTCTCATTGTCCAGAGCCTAAGGGAAGGTGGCCTCAGTTGGCCCTATAGGCTTCCCCATGCCTCCTTGAGAAAAGCCCAGAAGAGAGTGAATTCATGCCTAGCTCTGGGCACAGGAAGGCCTATCCACCCTGGGTCTTTCCTGGCTTGAGTTCTGAACACTCTCTTACACTCTCCTGGCCGAGGCTTTCAGTTTTGCTGCCACTCCCCAAGTAACGTCCAGAGTTCAGAGCAGGTGTACTTACATTCTCCCTGTGTCAGGGGTTCCTTAAAAAGAGAGGGGCAGGGGTACAGCTGTGAAGTTGGCAAGGCTTCTCTGCCTCTTGATGTAGCCCAGCACAAGCAGGGAGAGTGGCCAGTAATGTTACCTAGTCCCAGACTTCCCTGGGTGTCTCAGGCCTCAGCCTGGACCCCTGATCCTAAGGTAGAGGGATGGGCCCCTCTGGCAGGTGGTGCACAGGGCTGAGCCCATCAGGCCTTGCTAACCTCACAGCTATCTGTACCCATGTCTGCCCAGGGAGACTCATTCTTTTGGTCTTAACAAATGCTTCCAACTGTACAAACTCAGGTTTCCAACCTCTGATCTTGGTCCCTACCCCCACCATGAGGCAGTATTTGGGGTTGGGAGGGGTTCATCCTGACCTATAGGGCTCAGAGGTCATACCTGATGCCTGCCTCTAAGGGGCACATTCCCCTCCCTGCTCAACCCCATGTGGGCCGATAACAGCTCCTCTATGGACTTTGGCCTGGGGTGTGGAGCTCTATTCTGCTCACCTGGGTTATCTGGTTATCTACCATCCCCACCCTCCATCTATTTCCCAGAGCTGTCCTTATACTGCATAAAACAGTCATAGCAGGACAGGCTATTTGCTCGTTCGTTTGTTCCTTGAGCAGGCACTCCCCAAACATTTGCTATGACCCAATTGAAGCCATGCTCGGCCATGTTCAGTAGACAAACATTTCCGAGTGCCTCTCTCTCTCTCTCTCTAATATTTTATTATTTTTATTTTGTGTGTATGCGCGTATTGCCTGCATGTAGGTAAGTGCACCCATGTTGTGCAATGCCTGTCAGGATTCAAAGACTTTCTTTTCCTCCTCAAGATAAGAGTTAAGCAATTTGGGAGTCTTTTAGACAGACCCACTGAAGGGGTACTCCAACTGCCTCACCCTGCGTCCCTGTTCAGCATGGAAGAAGCCAGAGCGGTCTGTGTCTCGATTCCCTATTGGCAATTTGGGTAACCTCTTCATAGGATGGTGTTATAAGAATAGGAGGTAGGAATTCGCTAGGCAGTTAGGGTAAAAAGACCCCAAAGAAAAGTAGCCAGTTTCTTGGCTAAAACTCACAATGTCCTTGGGCCTCTTAGCAACCTACTCTGTTCCAAAGGCCAAAAATGTCTAAAATATTTGGGAGCTTTTATCTAATCCTTAAAAGATTTTAGGGTTAACTCATCAGGGGGGAATGTTAGAGTAGCCAAAAGCTCCATAAAAAATAAATTGGCTGGGCGTGGTGGCACATGCCTTTAATCCCAGCACTCAGGAGGCAGAGGCAGGCAGATCTCTGTGAGTTCAAGGCCAACCTGGTCTACCTAGTGAGTTCCAGGACAGCTGGGGCTACAAGGAGACCCTGCTTCAAAAAGACAGAAATTAATTAATTAATTAATTAATTAACTCAACTGTGGACCTAGAAATTTGCACCCACTTGTGAAAGAGATGTACTCTTGCTCTGGAGTTTGTTACTGAATATGTTAAAGCTGTAGTGAAATGCTTCTTCTAATCATGTAGTTATTAAAAATTTAAACAGTAATGATTAAAAAATGATAATATTCTTCAAAGCTTAAAAATTTGCTCCTTAATAATTAGTAGATGTGAAAAACATTACCATTGAAATCTACCTGATG